TGTGTCCCCTTAAAGTGACACTCACGCTGTAATTCCTAGAGCCAAGACTAAGGGCCCTAAAGAAGGTGAGCAGGGGACCTGTGTATATCAACCACCCTAATATTTACATATTTTACTAGGGGCTTCTTCTCTTGTCTACTTTTTGTCTCCCCTCTCCCGACTACATTGAAAAAAAGACAGAAGACGGTTTGTGTCACCTAAGGGCACACCTGCCTATGTGATGTGAGCCTTTCCTATATGGCTGTACACTTGTGAGTGTGAATCGTTATATTTTATACCTATTTGCAGACCAAACTGCACTATTGTTTATTTTCTCTTATATTTAGCCTTTGCTGTTCATCTACCTATTATGACATAGGTGTAAGTAGTATTGTTTTAGCACGCCACTATTTGCACTGGTGGTAACCATAACCACTCGGTTGACTGTTTATGTTCTTATGTTTATGTGTGTAGTTTTGGGCGAAACTCACAAAGTTTGGTAACAGCTGTTTGTATCTTACTTTATTTTATTCATTTGTATAAAAGCGCTCATATTACAGAGTACTTTTTTTTCTTGTTAGTACATTTTGAATGTGCTAGTTTAAAACACTAAAATACATTAATGGTACTTTCATCTAATGTTCCTTTCATTAGCTTTATTTTCAATGTATAGTAATATTAGCTTCAGTTACATTTGAAGATGCGTAAACGTTTTGTGTGAAGGTCGAAATTTATTAACTTGCGTCATGATGTTTAAACTCTTTAAAGATAGTTACTGAGTCCAACATGCACAGGTCTTTTGTTTCTTTGTTTCTTTGTTTTCATAAAATGTTCAGCACAACTTGTTGACAATCTTTAGAATGATTTGTAATGGTTTTCATACTATTTCTGATGTCAGTCACTTAATGTTCTTTCTCACAAGTATAATTACTTATCATCTTTAACACAATATTAAATTAGAGTAAAAAAAAAAGTATAGAATTGCTATTTTAATGTTACTTATTATTCATTGATTATAAGAGTTATTATTAGCTTCCCATATATTTTGCTGTTGGCCTAACAATTAATAAATGTCACATAGAAATCTGACCTCCACTAAGATTCCGAGCTGTTTCTGAATCCCCATTTCATTTAGCATTACTAGAGGATTTAAAGACACCTATAACAAACAAGTCATAGATTCTATACTGACAAAGAGTCTTTAAAGGACTATTCTGGGCACCATAACAACTTCATTGCAGCACCAGTGGAACTAGTGCTGATTCAGCCAGTGCAGCTGCATTGAGCCCACAAACGCGGGGGGCCCATCAGGTGCCTGATGCTGCCTAAAAACATTATTGTTAATCATGTATTTGCAAATTAACTATAAATAGTGCACTGTTACTATTTTGTTCATTTGAATAAACAATAGAATGTAACCTTGAACATGTGTACTTGGATGAGCTTCAAAATAAATACACCGTTTTTCTATATTGTATTCCAAACATGTATGCAGCATTAATTGTTATACTCCAAGGGCATAGATTTAGACATGCAAATATACTTAAGCAGTTGGGATAGCATAATTCCAAATTATTCAACAGTTCCATGTCACGGTATTCTGAACCCCATTCCTGCAGTTCTAATTGTCTCATATTTCTGTATAATGCTTGCCACTCAGTTACAGTCTCTAGCCCCATGTCACTTTTGTCCTGCTGGATGGCTGTCATGGGAGATGCCCAATGATGCTCCACTAATGAGGCAGTTTAAAGAGCAGCTGGGGATGTGAATTTGCTGGATTAGGGTCAGGGCCAGCAGGGCAGGCTGATGAAAGAGACAGAACCTGAATGACTGCCAGTAAGCAGGATTTCTGTTATCCTGCTAAGGCAGAACATTCATTTCTATTTATTGTGCTGTGATTTCAATTCAATCAGACTGCTTCAGACTATCACTTCATTTTCAATTTGCAAACTTTAGAAAGATATTTTAGCTGAAGCTGATATAGAAGCGATTTGAATTTTTACCTCGTCCTTATCAAATCCTATAAAACCATATCCTGTTAGCGAGTTACAAATGTTAAAGGATTTTTTATAGAAGAAAAAGTATAAAGGCACGCCAACAAAATCCCTTTTTTACAAGGGATTATAGAGAATCTGAAAGGACGGCACCTAGCTAATAGAGCTATTGACACATTCGTTATTCCATTCTTTATGTTAAGAAAAAAAAGAATTATGACATTTATTTGAAACATGGGAGCGGGCATATAAAATAAAAATAATTATGTGTATAGGTCTCTGTTCAATGATACCTACAAAATAAATTTATAAATATTTGCAAGATTGTTTTTTCCCTTCCCTCCCCTCTTTCTCTTCCCTCCCCTCCCCTTTTAATTATTTTAGAATTTACTGAAATTATGGGAATAAAAGTATTAAAAATGACAAATTATACTTTGGCTTACATTACTTAAAATAGGTTCCAAACATTCAGAATAAAGTACAGAAAAAAACATGCATTATGCTTTCTGAAACATGCATTATATAAATAAAAATTGTAATATACTTTCTTTGGGCATGTTTGTGTAGAACAGGGGTAGGCAACCATTTACCAAGTCTCTTTGCGTGACAGTCCTATTTTTTTAAATTGAGGTGTATGTTGTATTGTTCTTGTGTTATTTATGGACACTGCGGTTGTTTTATAACATTGTATTTGTGTGTATGTGGGCTGTTTTATTGTATATGTTCATGAGTTTGTGTATTGTGTATAAAACCTATGAATGTGGGCTGCATATGGAGGCTGTTTGTGGATCTGTGTCTGTAGATGATTCAGTAGAGATTCTACTTGTGGGGTTGTGGGCATGTATGTGGATTGCCAGTGGTGCCGTGTTTGTGGGGACTGAGTGTGTTTGTGTGAGGGAGAGGTATATTCTGCAGCTCTGTGTATATCTAGCAGTGTGGGTGACTCACCACCTCCAATCATCACTCAGTTTGCACTAACAGATATCTGAAGACTCAATGGGATCCCTGATAGGCCAGAGCCTGTTTGTCTCTGGCAGCCTTGAGTTTCATGCTGACCCATGGTATAGATGCTGCATCCTATTTTTGGAATGCAAATTTACAAAAGCTCAGCAGAATGAAAACATCTTCACTGTAAGTTAGGATACAAAGAAAAAGAAAAATGCCTGGCTGAAACAGCCCTCCATACATCTTTCTGTAACCTAGATGCTGTTTAATAACCCTGAACACATAGAACTGTACAGACTTCTTTACAGCATGTGGAGGGGAAGGAGGGTATTTGCTATTGCTCTGCATGAAGAAGGCAGCCTGACTTGATTTAATGTCTCCCTGATGTAAAGGCCAGAGCAGGAGTGGAGGTGGAGGCAAGTGGGATGTTTTATGGGTTATTTAATTTAGCATTTTAATGCTATGCAAAATGAAACATATAAATATTTTTAGTGAAGGATTACAGTGAGGAAAATGTATAATTATTTTAACCTTTTAACCCCTATGTCCCCCTGTAACACCCTCTGCAGCTCCTGTATCCCCTTCTCAGCCTCTATGGACCCATCACAACCCCTGCCCCTTTTTACAGCTTCTGGCCCCTGTATCAATAGAAATTTACACTTTCATAAATTATACCACAGGTATACAACAGGTTGTGTTAGTTCCTGGTTTGATTAGCTTATTTGCATTGCACTCAAGAGGCAGCAATTGCTCAAAGCACCTGCCTTGCAAAGACTTCTCATTGATCTGCATTGGGAAGCCTGTGATTGGACAGCCACATAAAGTCTCGGACTGGGTGGTTTTTGGATATAACTCTAATGAAAAACGCATAATTTAATAAATGCAAGTTTTGATTTGTGTATATCTACTAAACGGTGATTTTTATTTATTTTGTATTTGGGTAGCGGAGTATCCCTTTAATTACAACCTATAGTCCTTAAAATAACATTTATTTAAAGTATAGATTCACTTCTATTAATGTGATCAACCATTTAATGTAGACTTTGCTATTTTGCATTAAAGGGTTAAAATTACATGACGACTGCACCCAGACCACTTCATTAAGATGAGGAAGAGCAATCTGTTCAGGATCCTGGATCTAGCAACCTTGATTCTATCTTTGTATTATGGCTTACAACTCCCACTGGAAGGCTATTACAGGTATCTAGTGTCCACTCTGTTTACATTTCAGTATAGATATCCGAGGCACCAGCTAAACTCAGCAGCAAAAACCCTCGAGCAGAAAGCATTCTTTTACATCGAGTAAATGTCAAAATAATATCTAAGCAGCACTGTGCCCTCTTATTGACCTTTAATGTGCTGCATGCTGTTCAAGCAAAAGCAACCAGACTTGCATTTTCTGCTTAATCACTTGGGGTAACTGTAGTTTATAATGCATCGGCAAGCTTTTTACAGACTGTGCAAAATCAAGTTTTACAGTGACTTGAGTTTACAATTCTGTGGATTATTTTTTTGTTCTGCTATAAATCGTGGTGCTACCTGTCAAATCAGTGCACAAGCTAATCATGTGATATAAACCAATGTGCATATAGTCAGCATAGATATTACACTATTCATGATTTTCTTTTTAACACACAGTAATCATTAGCTTTTGCTAATGCCCAAGCTCTAGAAAATAGAAATACCCAAAAGCAGTATGGGTTACTGCATGAGCTCCTGACCTTGAAAGGTCAGTGGAGTGTAGAAAATCTGAAATAAATGACTGATACTAATGCTGTCTGCATGATTAGAGAATGACAAAGTATTGAGGCAAGGAAAAAGAGAGAATGAAACGAGGCATTTTTCAGTCAATATTGTATGATATAAAGACCCATGGGGCATAACAAAGGGTGATAAATAAATGTAATGGACTTACAATACCATATGAAAAAAATTTCTTGTGTGATTGAAAGAAGAAAAAAAAAGAACACTTTTTTTTTTAAAGTAAATTAAAAAACCAAACCATAATTGGCAATCAGAAGTAATAATTAAAAGGTATTTAACACTTTTGTTACTGAAGCATTAAAATGCAAAATAAGGACGGTGGCTTGGCGCCGGACGAGAATGGCCGCCTAATCTCCTCGCTCCGCTCCCGACCGCCCCATAAGCACATCTAAACAGCGCAATCTGGCACCCATGGGACGCACCAAGCGAGCCCAAATGACCCCCTCCACGCCAAGAACTCAGGGGAACAACCCGCACCCCTCGATCAGAAGCTACCTGCACACCCCAGGCGATCTTCTCACACAGGAGGAACTATCCAATATGGCGCCCTCCTCACCGAGCTCCACACTATCGGAAGAAGTCCCCAACACTGGAACGAACGGAACTGCCGCGCCAGCACCAGACTGGTATGCCCTTTATGCATCCCTACCTAAGAAGGAGGACTTCCACTCCCTCCTGGAAGAGGTTAAAACCACGCTGCACACAGAAATATCAGCTCTGGGCTCCTCCATTACAGCACTAGAGACCAGAGTGCAGGCCCTGGAATCCCGACGCCCCGACCTGCCCTGCCCGGCGCTCGCAGCCACGACAGCACAGGCTAAACAGATCCAGGACCTACGCTTACACATTGAAGACCTGGATAATCGCAGCCGCAGACACAATATACGGGTAAGAGGATGCAGGGAAACAGACCCCCCAGAAGACACGAGGGCCATTTTGACACCACTCTTTAACCGTATCCTGAACCGGCCAAGAGACGCCCGCATCCCCATAGACAGAGCACACAGGGCCCTGAGGCCTAAGCCCCTGCCAGGTGCCCCTCCTAGAGACATAATTTGCCACATCCCAGACTTCCAACTTAAGGAAGAAATTATGAGGAAAGCCCGGACGGAGAGGTCCTGGAGGCATGAGGGGCAGACGGTCGAACTATATAACGACCTCTCCCACCTCACCCTACAGGCCCGAAGAGCGCTGCGGCCCCTTACCACCGCCATGCAGGAGGCCCAAATACGCTACCGCTGGCAATTCCCATTTGCCCTAACAGCTCGGCGAGATGACACCGAAGCCACGATAAGATCACCACAAGACGTACAAGCCTTCCAAGAAGCCCTTGGCCTCCCACAAATGCCCATCGCAGACTGGACAAATTGCCCGATGAATGAGCGCTTCACAGGGCGACCAACCCGCCGCCACATCCAGCAGGGACCAAACGCTGAATTTACCTCTCTACAGCAAGCGAGCCCAGAGGAATAAACCTACCCCGTTTGCCTGAGAAATCGCTGAAGACTCCACGCTGACATTTTTTCTGGGATCACGGGGCACCCCCCTCTTTTTCTTTCCCTTTTTTTTTTTTTTTCTCTTCTTCCCCTCCTCTCTCCTCACTCCATCAAGGAACGACGAAACATGACCGGAAGAAACAAAGCTATGGACAACTACACCAGCCGTCCAACAGACCCAGGACACTCGTACAAAATAAATGTGGCCACCAGCAAACATCTACACCACACTCGCCACTCCTCGCACAAGGAACCTGTCAGCGGACTAAGCTCACCCCTACACGACCAGAGAACATGAGCCCCCGTCAAGAAGGACCCAACACTGCACAAGTACCCCCACGGGCAACTGATAAGTGGCCTAACACTGCCACACAATGGACTCCCTCCAGAAGAAGAGAGAACTCAAAAGCGCAAGTACTATGCCAGGGGTCACAACGCCCCAAGACTATACACCAACCACACGCTTTACATAAAATACTACTAACTGTGACGCAAAAACAACCCCACCACATGGGGCACTCTCCCACGTACATTAGCACGCCACACAGCCACACACCATACAAAGGCAACATACTGAAGCAGGGACACTCGTGATATGCTGAAGTGTGATATGCTAATGTTCCTGCTCTGCTGTTCCCACACCACAGATAGACAGCATACACAGCATACAGGCATTTCCACTCATGAGTACAACCACCACGACACAGACACTAATACACAGGCACTGGAGGCGGCAGAGCCCGCAATGCTAAATACAGACTATTCCAAGTCAAAGCTACTCGAAGTCAAAGCTACTCATCTGTGTTCCTCTATGTAATCTGTGGGTATTGAAATGTAAACACAAACGCGACGGACAGACACCACGTCACGTACCTGCACATCACATGCAGGAGACAAGACAGCGACACGGACGATAGGGACACTTGTATTGCACTGACCGATGACTGCAAGGCTAACTCAGGACTAGGCCTATAACAGTTAGGTGCCCTCCCAACTACCGGAACACAAAACGTACCTATCACATAACACATGGAATATCAGCTATCAGAGAAGACTGACCACGATTTGGGGAGTCACTTAGCAAACGGTAACATCTCTAGCTCCTGACATACGACAGCCGACTGCTCACACGAAAGACAGATAAGCAATCCCGAACTGATTATCCATGATGATCCCTACCGATTAAGTCTTACTGAACGACCACACCAGCTACCACCTTATGGTGACAATAGACGAGGCCTGACACACAATGACTCTCACATGACTATACGGAAAGCCGAATCTCCCCTTGGAAGAGACAGCTAGAATACGAACTAAGACGAGTCTGAGCTGACATACGGGCCCTCCCCGCCCCACCCTCCTCCCCCTGACTTGACCGAATACCGTAAGACCCCGAGTGACCCACAGAACGCAATCTCAGGACGACTAACACGGGATGACCCCCACCTCATCAGGGCATACTCAAACTGTACGAATTAGTTGAATTGAATTGAATTGCATTGAATTGTTTTTGAATGTTACAAATGTTCTCTTATACAATGTTGATCACTGCGTGTTCATAACCTGCAAGTTGCTCTCCCATAGGCCTTAACTCACCCTCATCACCCGTATCACACGGTAAGAACCATACAAGGACCACCACTAAAACCCGCTCGCATGCACCTTAGATTAAACACACGACCTACCCTCAGATGGGTGCCACACCGTCCTACACCGCAACACTCTGGGGCGGCGGAGGCCGGACGAGAACTGGACTTGACACCAACCGGCGACACAGTCACAGACGGGTGACCTACCCCCTCACCGGCGCCACCAACCCCACGGGTACACTGCCTACGACCTGCTAGGTAGCTACGGGAAGCAACTCCCCTAGACCTCTACCTACCAGCGGCACATTGCCCCTTACTACTATTACCCCAACGAGCTACAAAAACCTAAACTAGCTGCCCCACTACACACACCCGACTACCTTACACCCCTTCTCCCACCCCCTCCTTCCCTCGTAGACCCCTCCCTCCCCTCTCCCTTACACCCACCTACACCCCCCCCTGACCCTCGCCCGCCCGGGTCCACCGGCCGGTCCGGCCCGGGGGCGACACCCACAGCATGGGCCCGCCCCACGCCCCCTACGCGGACAGACCCAACTGGGACCACCTCAAACTCTACACGCTTAACGCGAGAGGCCTCAACTCTCCTCATAAACGGGCCAGAGCGTTACGGGAACTCAGAGCACTGGGAGTGTCGATAGCCTTCTTCCAGGAAACCCATTTTCACGCACCACAGGCCCCGAAGTTCTCCAACAAACACTACCCCAACGGCCACTTCGCGCACAACCCCTCGACCAAATCTAAGGGAGTAGCCATACTATTCTCAGCAAACACCCAGTTCCACCTGGAAGCAGAAGTAAGAGACACGGAGGGCAGATATCTCTTTATTAAGGGGAAAATAGGCAACTCCACACTCACGTTTGCAAACCTGTACCTCCCAAACAAAGGCCAGAAACCGTTTCTGGCCTCGGCCCTCAGAACCCTAGAAGAATTCGGTGAAGGCACAATCATAATTGGAGGAGACTTCAATGCCCCCCTAGACCCCAAAATGGACACGTCCAAAGGCGCATCTACGATACCAGGACACATCCTCAGAGGAATGAGGACTCTCCTCTCAAATCACCAATTTACAGACACCTGGCGCATCCTACACCACACAGACAGAGATTTCACCTACTACTCAGCACCACATAGATCCTACTCAAGGATAGATTATTTTTTCACCCAACACAGAGACCTAGACACGCTGCTAGCAGCCCAAATAGCGCCTATGACCTGGTCAGACCACGCACCAGTAATCATCACCATAGAACACCCCAAGCCCTTAAAACCGCAATGGACGTGGAAATTAAATGAATCGCTCCTGGAAGACCCACTAATCCAAACAGACGTACGCTCCGCTCTAGAACACTTCTTCCTCACCAACAAGACACCTGACTCCACGCCGCCTACAATATGGGAGGCGCATAAATGCGTCATTAGAGGGATCCTTATCAAACATGGCACCCGCCTGAAAAAACAACGTACACAAGAAATTGCACACCTTGTCACCCAGGTGGCCCAACTGGAAGCAAAACACAAACACACCCTTCATGACGCCACCTATAAACAACTTCTGGAGACTAGAGCGAAACTCAACTCTCGGTTACAATCAAAGATCCAATTCCAGTTCCAACTCGCAAAAAAAACATTTTACGAATTCGGAAATAAAAGTGGCAAACTATTAGCCAGAGCACTGAGAGCGCGCAGGAAAAAATGCCACGTCCAAAAGATCACAGCAGCAGGGACACACATGCTCACACCCAAAGCCATAGCAGACGGCTTCCGACAATACTACTCCTCCCTATATTGCTTACCTCTACACACTTCGCGAACAAACTCCACAGAAGCAACCTTCATAGCTCGTCAGAAAGAATATATAGCGCAGAACCTGACTTCCAAGCTCCCGCCCCGGGCCGTAACCGCACTGGAGGAAGACATCACTGCCGAAGAAATACATCTAGCAATCAAACTGGCCAAACAGGGGAAAAGCCCAGGACCAGACGGGTACACGGCAAAATACTACAAGACGTTCGCAGACGCTCTCACCCCACACCTGCTTACCCTGTTTAACGCCATCCATAAGGGGAACCCACTGGATCCCAACACGCTCCTGGCCCATATCGTGGTGATACCGAAGGAAGGAAAAGACCCGTCCTCATGCACCAGCTACCGACCAATATCCCTGCTGAACACTGACCTCAAGCTGCTCGCCAAGGTACTGGCACTCCGCCTCCAACCCTTACTACCGGACCTCATCCACCCTGACCAAGTGGGATTTGTGGAGGGAAGAGAGGCCAGGGACAACACCGTCAAGGCACTCAACCTAATACACGCAGCTGGACGAGGACACAAGCCCGCCCTATTGGTCTCGACAGACGCCGAAAAGGCGTTTGACAGGGTGGACTGGTCCTTCTTATTCTCCACCCTAGAGCACCTTGGGATGGGACCGCACATGCTGGCCCGGATATCAGCGCTATACACCAACCCAGCTGCCCGAGTACAAGTAAACGGAATTCTCTCGGATCCTTTCGAAATAAGAAACGGCACGAGGCAGGGCTGCCCACTATCGCCCCTGCTATTTGTCCTCAGCTTGGAGCCGTTCCTAAATGCCATCAGAACCCAACCCAACATCGCAGGGATCGAAGGCGGGTGGGGAGTCAGCAAGGTTGCGGCATACGCGGACGACCTCCTGTTTACCATCACCGACCCAGCATCCTCCCTCAGAGAATTAATGCATCAATTTGACACTTATGGCATACTGTCAAACCTAAAAATCAACTTCACCAAATCAGAAATCCTCAATGTGGGCTGCCCCCAACCACTGGTAAACATACTACAAAATGACTTCCCTTTCCACTGGTGCACAGAAGCAATCAAATACTTAGGTATCTGGCTGTCGGCAGACCTCACAGCCAGTTTCAGAATCAACTTCCCACCCCTTCTTGACCAGATTAAAAAAGACCTGAACGCATGGCAGCTGCCACACATCACATGGCTGGGTAGGATCAGCGTACTCAAGATGAACATACTCCCACGACTCCTGTACCTCTTGCAAACCCTACCCATACACATTCCCACCACCTTCTTCACCCAAGCCCGACAGATAATGACAGAGTACGTGTGGCATCGCCAGAGGGCGAGATTGAACTTCGCCACTCTCACGAGACCCAAACACCACGGGGGACTGGGCCTACCCGATCTGACCAAATATCGGCGAGCCGTCCATCTCCAGCGTCTGATTGAATGGACACACAACCCGGAAAACAAACTTTGGATCCCGATTGAGGCAAGCTTCTCACAGACCCCCCTATCTCTTCTCCCTTGGCTACCAAAAGCTATGACCAACGAACTACCACGACAACACCCAACCATAAACGCTACTCTGGCGGTCTGGAGAGGCTTAGCGCGACACAGGGACATGGCCCCGGAGCTATCTCCCCTCTGCCCTATCTCCCATAACCCCAAATTCCCCCCGGCGATGGAACCTCGCTACGTCACAACCCTAGGGCTGCCATATCCATGCAGACTAAAGGACATATACAAACAAGGCACGATTACCCCTCTGAGAGACCTGGTCCCAGATACCACGCACAACTGGCCACTCCGCTTCAGATACCACCAGCTTACGAAATTCCTGACGCACATGCCCGAACTGAAATCGGCAACACGAACACTCTCCACCTTCGAAACCCTTTGCACAAGCCCCTCGATCCCACCACACGCAATCTCACTCCTATACACACTACTAATCACACCTCCCACTGATGCTCCCCTCCCTTACTTCACCAGATACTGGGAAAAAGATCTAGGACACCCACTCACCAGGGAACAATGGACCACAGTGTTTACGCTCATACACAAAGCCTCTATAGCCACCAAATACCAGGAAGCAGGATATAAAATGATCTCGCACTGGTACCGAACACCAGAGAAATTATCGGCAATGATGTCCACCTGTGAACCAGAATGTTGGAGATGCAGGAAAGAACTGGGAACCCTCTTCCATATATGGTGGACCTGCCCACTCATCAAACCATTCTGGACGGAAATCCACAAAGTCCTAGAGACCGTAACGGACGCGAAGCTACAACTTACACCCGAAACCTATCTGCTCCACCTGACCCCGCTCCCCTTCAACAAATACAAAAAATCTGTAATCCCGCATCTCCTGAATGCGGCTCGCAGCCTCATTCCGAGACACTGGAAACAACCTACGGCCCCGACAATCAATGAATGGATGATCAGAGTAGAAGACATCAGACGTATAGAGGAGCTCATCCTCTCGGCGACGGGATGCATACAACGCTACCACGACACCTGGTATCACTGGTCACAATGGCTCACCTCTGCCACAGCGATGGGAGACGGGGACTTACAGCCCTCAGATACAGAAGTGGAATTGTCCCCCCGGGCCGAGGCCGGAGGAGCTGGACCGAGACCTGGGCCGTCCCCCGCCTAACCCACCACTAACTCCCTATACCTCATCCCGCTTAACCTGAAACCACCCACACCCCCCGGTCCCCATTCTTCACTACCCCCCCCTCGCCCCCTCCTGAGCGACTCCGCCCACCTACAACCCTTCAGAGACAAACCAACACAGAGATGAATAATCATGACACAAGACAAACAACGCTCACCCCTCACTCCCCCCCAACACAGATCGAACAACACGCACCGTACCCATGACACACAACAGAGACATACACAAGACAGCACGCCAGAGACAACACTCACGCTACACACAACACGACAACTACCGGGCCAGAAACCCCCAGCTTTCTCCCCCAGCTACCAGACGGCTCTGAGCGTAGCAACACTTAGACACACAAACCAATGCTGCCAGTACACCCCACCCCACCCCCGTTCATAACACTAACGGACCGGCTCCGAGCTCCATACCCGAAGCCCCAACAAAAGACCCACCCCACTGGACCCCACCAACGCAACCCAGGGCATATATCCCCACTAAATAAGACCTCCACATGTACACCCATCCAACCAATGAAACCCCACATACTAAAACAATATGAGCAGTACAACCTGTTAGGTATACCAAACCCACCCCCAAGATAAACACTGAATCACATCCCCCACTAAAACTCATAACTCTGTAACTTACCGCAAAACTACCCACACCATACCACAAATGTTGAATGATTCAAAACACGCAACTGTTTCTAAAAACTCTGTTCATTATATGCGCATGGCCCGATCTTCAGTAGCCATGACGATGGGATCAACTCAGTGAGTTACCAAACCCCACGGCACTGAAATACCCACATACATATTTTATATCTTATGTTTTTTATGCCTAAACCATTACCTGCTCTGTAAACTAACTGTTACCATGCTATATTAAGATGCCCATGTACCTTCTACCTGCTGTATCCTTCTTCAAACTGGATTGTTACGCGAATTTAAATCAAAATAAAAACTTTTTGAATAAAAAAAAAAAAAAAAAATGCAAAATAAGATCATGAGAATTGTATTCATCCATAATGATATGGTTACATGAAGCCACTTGTGCAAATGAACATTAATGAGAAGCCCACTCTATAGGGGAAAATCCAATTAACCTTTGCATGCATTATACATATTTTATTTAAGCATACTAAAGTACCATTAATGCCTTGGTTGTATAATAAATACTGCTGATTTGTTCTGATTATTTTTTTACTTGTTTTATGTATTCTGTACATATTGTATAATACATATTGTATACATTTTATATATATATATATATATATATATATATATATATATATCAATTATCAAATAATAAAAATTAACAGCGCACCAAATGTACATAAAGGGGAAAATGCAAAAATAAACCTAATCATAGCGCAGTATGTTTGGACATGAAGAATGTAAATAAATCCTCCTTAAGTAATGCATTCACATTAATTTGAGCCTGTTATATCTGGCTCAAGTATCTACATGGGGTTAGAGATCTTTCAATTCAGTGTACAGGTAAAGGACCATTTTAATTCATCCAGACCAGTCAACAGGTAACCACAGGAATGGCAGGTAACCCCAAAGGTGAGGAGAAAGAACACCAATGATGTCACAGTATAGCAAATTTATTTAAGATAAATAAAATATCTTACATTTGGGTAAAAACATCTGCCTATCTTAAATCCATATATTAAAAAATAACAGGCACAGGCACGAACCATAGTGAGAATAAAATGTCTTCCTCAGGTGCCTGTCCTCCCTCTTCATGGTGCCAGCTTTTATAACCCCTAATTGCTGATTTTTTTCATTGTTTCTTGTGTGACGTCAAATCCAGCACTGTATCATTCCTGGCCCATCAGCCATCTTGGTACTTTCGATCTCCACATCAGTTCTGCCTTGAGGGTACTTTCAGGTGACAAGTAGTGCCAACATATTCACTCCAAACACCCATACATGTTATATCACATATGAGCTTAGTGCTTTTGGTTAGCTGTATTGAGTTTTCTTTTCTTATTAATCTCTGTTTAGTAAGGCTTAAAAAAAACTAAAAAAAAAACAATAAAAGTTTTCTACTAAAACCCTATCCTTTCTGTCAGTCCAATCTGAAGTATTTCCCTTTTGGTCAGAAATGATCACTCTACATGATGTCATAACTTGTGGGGGAACCTAGTGCCCCCCAGCCCAACCCATTAGCAGCAAGTGGGGGCCCTAATGATTTCATAGCACAAGCTACTGTGGACAGATGAAGGTGATGTGGAAACGTCATCCATGGATACAAAGATGGCGGAGCTTAGGACATAGTGCCGAAAAAGAAATAAGAAAGTAAACAAAGGTGAAATGGGGACGTAGAGGCATTTAGGGTGAGAGTAAAAGGGGCACATATAAATTGGATCACAACTGACCTTATTCAAATGTACCAGTTTCGGGACTCATTGTGGTCAAAGTTCAGGTGTACTGGCT